TATAATGACCTGCTCTGACGCACTGGATTATTCGGGGGGTAAACTGCATTGGGTTGTGCATACTTTCTATTTGAACGGAGAGCCCCACCCTCTTTTTGGGAACCTTACCTGTTAACCTGCTCGGGCACCCTCGATCGTTCGGGGGCCCTTTTACATTGGGTCTTAGGTACTCCCTATTTGAACGGAGGGCCTTACGACTCTTGACAGGGTCTTTATATGTTAACCTTCTCGGACGCACTCGATCGTTCAGAGCCCTACACATTGTGCCGCGAGTAGTTTCTTTTTTGAATAGATGACCCTATGTTCTTGGCGGGCCCCATCTATTCAGCTGCTCGGACCGGTAGCGGATGCAGAGGGGGAGGGAGGGGAGGCACATGGCTATACCCCATGGACCATGTCGAGAGGACCTGAAGGCTCCGAATGGGCCCCATAACCAGCCGGATGACGCAGTTTTCTTACAATAAATACACAACAAATTTGGAAGCCTTTGGGCCTACAGATGACCAAGAGCAACTGTTAGCAAAAATAAAGAGTTCACAAGCAGGCCAAACTATCTTTTTTTTGCTGATTGAGAAAGCGTTGCTTGGGGAAAATTTTGGAGCTCATTACGCTGTCTAGAACCATTGCGCTGTTGGTTTCCTGGCCCTATAGATCTACTTGTCGGATCAATGTGATCGCTAAGGAGCTTTCCACGTTACCCTTGATCTCTTTGTATTTTCTCGTAGGGCCTAATGTGCTGTTGGGACGTTATCTGCCTCCATGCCTGAGCACTGTTGATCAATCAAGTTTTCCTCCGCTGATTCTCCCCATTCGTCCGAAAGGCTCTTTACGCTTTTTCCAGACCCCATATGCCAGGACACACCCAGTTGCTCAGGGGCCCCTCATTTAGGTCTCAGGCTCTTCAGCTCGCTTGGAGGGCCTTGTGCTGTTGCTAGGGCTTTTATAAGGTAAGACACGGAGACACTCGATGCTCAGGGGCCATCTACTTTGACCGAGGGCTCTCTCCCTTTGGTCCCATTTGCGGAGGACTCTTCGCTCATATCGAGGCTCGTGTTGTCAACCTGCCCGCGCTCTCTTGATCGCACAGGGGTATTGATTCATGGTCCTGGATAATTCCTTTCGCTCGGACGGTTCTGTGCTTTGGCCGGAGCTTTATATGTCAGCCTGCCGGGCACTGACGGTCGTTCATGGGCCCACCACGTTGGTCTTGGGTTATTTTTGCTTGCTCTGAGGATCCGGTACTTGGTGACAGGAGCCTGTGTGTTCACCTCCTGCGCCACCCATGGTCGCTCATGTTTTGTCCCTATTGGCATTGGTGCGTTAGCCTAAGAGCAGCGGTCGGATATGCGCCGATGATTTTTTTACGCGCGATTGCCGAACGTAATTTTACGTGCCGCCGACGTCGCATGTGTCATTTTCATTGGCTATTGAGTGTGTGACAGTTTATATACTAGTGCACCACGTTGTTAACATATTTCGAACGCTAGGATACATTGTATTCCTTTAAAACAGAGGAAAAATTATACACTAGTCATCAGCCATCAACTGATTACATCGCCCAACCGGCTAGCCGTACAACACAAGATAGGAATCAATCCCATGCTTTTAGCTTCGAAATTACAACATTTAAGATGATCTGTAGAAAGTGAGTGAGCTCTATGTGAATGCATGCGTAGTACGCCTAGTATCATCCGTATTTATGAAATAAATGAATAAGTTAATGCATACATGCATATACACGTACTTACACACACACACACACACACACACACACACAACACACACAACACACACACACACACACACACACACACACACACACACACACACACACACACACACACACACACACACACACACACACACACACACACACACACACACACACACACACACACACACACACACACACGCACACACGCACACACACGCGCGCACGCACACACACACACACACACACACCACACACACACATATATATATATATATATATATATATATATATATATATATATATATATATATGTTACACACGACTGGTCTTAAAATGTAGTTACCGAAATGCGAGGATATTTTTTTGGAGGGGCCACAAACTCCGGGGCCCCACAATGTCACGTGGCCCCCCCTTGGCGAAATCCTGGATCCGCCCCTGATGGTAATAACACAGCTGAATAACTGGCATATTCTAAATCTATGATATCTTCTTGTTGAAGATATTGACTAGCTCTGTTCAAGCATAACGTACAGAACATAAGAAGCTGCTTAGAACCGCACACCACGTCCACTGACGGCAAAGTTATGCGATGCTAAACATCTGTTGATGCGCTCATAACAAACAAGGGTAACACAGAGTGTCAAATCAGGCCGCACAGCAACGACATATCGCAACAAACAGCGCCGCTTTCTGCCACACACGTACATATCTCCTTAATGGAGCAAGCCGTCCCTCCTTACGCGGTTACAACTTCAAACTGTTTTTGCCATCGATAAAGCTGAAGCGACAAGCACTACCAACCACAACGAACGACACAGTGACTACCCTGCGGCAAAGCTCATGACATGGCAAACCTCAAGCGTTTTGCTATGCTGGTTGGCCAGATTTTGTGCGCTTGCGTTTAAGACACGCTCTCCACTTCGCTACATCACTTTTTCATGCCGTCTACGGGCCTGTCTTATAAGCCAATGCGAATCCAATGAGGCTGTCTCGTGTAGGCGGCTTGGGGCAGCCCGAGGACGACTGGCCCATGGGACAGCTGCTACTCGTGTGACAGCTGGTAACTTCAACCGAGGACGACTGGTCCATGGACAGCTACTCTGTGGACAGCTGGTACTCAACCGAGGACGACTGGCCCATGGGACAGCTACTCTGTGGACAGCTGGTACTCAACCGAGGACGACTGGTCCATGGACAGCTACTCTGTGGACAGCTGGTTAATCAAAACCGAGGACGACTGGCCCATGGGACAGCTACTCTGTGGACAGCTGGTACTCAACCGAGGACGACTGGTCCATGGGACAGCTACCTCTGTGGACAGCTGGTACTCAACCGAGGACGACTGGCCCATGGGACAGCTTACTCTGTGGACAGCTGGTACTCAACCGAGGACGACTGGTCCATGGGACAGCTACTCTGTGGACAGCTGTACTCACCGAGGACGACTGGCCCATGGGACAGCTACTCTGTGGACAGCTGGTACTCAACCGAGGACGACTGGTCCATGGGACAGCTACTCTGTGGACAGCTGGTACTCAACCGAGGACGACTGTCCATGGGACGCTACTCTGTGGACAGCTGGTACTCACCGAGGACACTGGCCCTGGACAGCTACTGTGGACAGCTGGTACTCAACCGAGGACGACTGGCCCATGGGACAGCTACTCTTGGACAGCTGGTACTCAACCGCTGAAATGACTTGTCGCTTCTAAAATAGATTTTGGTTCTTTTGACTTCAAGGAATTTTTCTTCTATATTCTTCGAATATCTCTTTTGTGGTGAAACGTAGACATCAGCATTCTGTCTCACAAAGAGCTTTCTAAATGCTCTTCTGTCACTCACATTTTAGGCAAGTAGGCGGGTTTGTGCACCTCATCTGGTGTAATTCAGTGACCTGACCCAACATCGATTTTGATCTCCATAATGGTGTTAAGTTGATCAAATGTCAGACACTGGCAACTTGCTGGAGCTACCATGCACGATTCGGACAGTGTTAACGAATTTTGAGGAGAAGATGGGTTGCTATGAACACATGCTCGGTTCGGGGGTCCCAGAATAAGTTGACCAACTGAATGAAATTGAGCAACCGGCATTTTGTTATGAAAATTGGGCATGTCTTGTAAGGTCGCTGACGCTCGGCAGGCCGAAGTACGAGCGTGCCTGTCAGCTGAGGAAAATCCCAGGGAATTATTAATAGGGTATGACGGTGGAGTGTTAGACGAAGTCATACAATTTTGAGATAGCTTCTCGGACAAGTCAACAATTGAAATTAAGATTGCGACTACTTCCATTGCTTTCAAGCCAGGTATGATGGTCAGATCAAGGTGAAAACTAAATCACTTTTACTGGGAACGTTGGTGTGGTGACATAGGTTTTTACTCTCATTTCGAATTCCCGGATCACTTGGACTTCAAAGGATGTCTTTTCATGATTTCATGAAGGTCAGTGGAGATCATCAATATAAAATGACCACCAAAGCCTCTTGCTTTGAGGAGCATACCGCCTAGGGTAGTATTTGGCGCTCATTACAAATTCAAGCATTTAAGTTATCTTAAAGTGATTTGGGCATTTTTACCGTCTAAATTGTAAATAAGTTCGCTGATTTGATATAAGCTATAAAACATCTAACAGACAAAAGCCTTGCGCATATAAGAAGTATGTAGGTTAAACCTGGTTGAGTGAAGAGGTCTGAAGGCACCTCCGATGTCTAACTGAGTTTTGACCTTATTTGACCTACGTTGACCCAACAATTTTGACCTGCAGTATTTTCTATAAATTTGATCCGAACCATTTCAATGGATGGATTTCTGGGATCAGAATCAACACTAAGCAGTGCATTGTTGTGTGAGCCTCGACCCACACCATCCGATCGGGCAATTTCAGGCACGGCAGAATTCAGTGGCGACAGTTTAACGTGCCGCAATGCTCGGCTTGGTCCGCCCTGCTCTCTGACGTCAACTGACCTTTGGCGTGACGGCTGCCACCGGCCGCAGGCCATACCTGTCAAGGACAAACAGGGAGCGCCTGGAGCGAACTCACTCCATCCCACTCCGCCACGGGTGGGCGGATCGGAAGGCAGGCGCTCTAACGAACTGTGCCATCGGGACGGACAATCAGCATTTAGGGTAATTCATTTCACATGGAGCCCTTCCTACCCTATGACCTTGGTGCCTCTACCTCTCGTAGTTCTCGGAACGTCAGGGGGCGAAAGGACCTCTCCTCAACGTGTCGCGTTCGACCCGGCACCCGGGCGCGTGTTAACGCTCTCAAGCATGTCACATTGGTCATGCCATCCAAAGGCCCGAGGCTTGGTTTCAAGGTGAGGTCCACAGCCTCGGCGCCTGTATTATGCAAATTTTCACCTGTCCGTAACGCGGCTTTGCAGTGCGGTCATCTACGGCAGTTGCACGAATACAAAACAATGTATGCCATAAAAGCCCACTATAAATCTAAACGGATGTGAGATTGTCACGCCGCCCTTGCTTAGTGCGCTTCAGTACTTCTTCACTTTAGCGTAACACAACGTTAAAAAGAGGTTGTGTAACCGAGCAGTTCACCAGCATCGCAAAATCACAAACCAGGTGGGTTGTTAGCTCTTATGCGTAAATTGTCTCACATCAACTCCTGTGAAAAACTAGGATGTCTCCTGATTGTCACAAAGCCGTGTAAAACGCACTTGCCATTTCCGTCCAAACGTGTGATAGGTAAGAGGCGTGCCCAGTGTAATAC